GGATTCGAACCTGCCACCTTAGGTGTATGTGGCTGGCGCCTTAGCCGGTTGAGCTATAGGCGCCGAGCCACCATGAACAATTTTAGAACAATTTTCATCCCCTCAAAAGGAAGCTCCACAACCATTAGTAGACATTTGTGATTTTTTTCCTCTTCCCTACCTAGCCCCAAGGATCCCCACCTAGCCCCAGACAATGAATGACTTACCTATTTCTGGCTCTGTATTTGCATGTTCTGGACATGTTAAAAAATATTCTTCCTATCTAACTATAATTATATATCCTTTAACTGGCATCTCCCCTCCCCTCCTTCCTCCCTAAACACCTAAGTTTCTGGTAGCCACCAGTCCATTCATGAGATCAATAATGCTTTTTGATTCCACATAGGAGTGAGATCCTACAGTATTTTTCTTTCTGTGCCTGCTTATTTCACTTAACATAATGTTTGCCAAGTTTATCCATGTTGTTACGAATGACAGGATTTTGTACTTTTTAATGGTTGGATCATATTCAATTGTGTATGTATACCGTATTTTCTGTATCCATTCATCAGTTGAGGGACACTTCGGTTGATTCCATATCTTGGACATTATGAATAAGCAATAAGCGTGGGAGTGCAGGTATCTCTTTGACAAACTGATTTAATTCCCCTTGGACAAATCCTCAGTAGTGAGATTGCTGGATAATATGATAGTTCATTTCTTAAAATTTTGAGGAACCTCCATACTGTTTTGCATGATGGCTGTACACATTTACGTTCCCACCAACAGTGTGTAAGGGTTTCCTTTGCTCTACGTCTTCGTCAAAACTTGTCATCTTTGGTCTTTTTAACAGTATCTATTCTAACAAGTGTGAAGTGGTATCTCAATGTGGTTTTGATTTGCATTTCCTTGGTGATTAGTGATAGTGTGCATGTTTTAAATATGCATTTTGGACATTTCTAGGTCTTCTTTGAGAAATGTCTAGTTAGGTCTTTTGTCTATTTTTTATTGGGTTAGTAGTTTTCTGGCTATTGAATTATTTGAATTCCTTACAAATTTGAATATGAATTACTTATCAGATCAATGGTCTCCAAACATTTTCTCCCACTTTGCAGCTTTTCTTATCACTTTGTTGTTTCCTTTGCTGTGTAGAAGCTTTGTAGTTGGATATAGTCCCATTTATCTATTTTTTTTTTTTTTTGCAGTTTTGGCCCGGGGCCGGGCTAGAACTCACCATCCCCTGCATATGGGGCCGGCACCCTACTTCTTGAGCCACAGGCGCTGCCCTCATTTGTCTATTTCTACTTTTGTCCCCTTTCCTTTTGAGGTCACATCCAAAAACTTGCTGCCCAGGACAATGCCATGGAACTTTCCCCCTGTGTTTACTTCTAGTAGTTTTATACTTTGGGGACTTACATTTATGACAATAAATCACTTTGAGCCAATTAGATGTACAGTGAAAGATTAAAGGTCTAATTTCATTCTTCTGCATTTGAATATCCAGTTATCCTGACACTGTTTATTAAAGAGAGTGTTCTTCCCCCATTGTGTGTTCTGGGTTCCTTTGTTGAAAATCACTCAGTTGTAAATACGTGGAGTATTTCTGGGCTCTCTGTTTTCGTCCATTGGTCTGTGTGTCTGTCCTTATTCCAATACTCTGCTGTTAATAGCCTTATAGTATAATTTGAAGTCAGATAGTGTGATGTTTCTAGCTTTGTTCTTTTTACTGAATGTTACTTTGTCTAATTGGAATCTCTAGTGGTTTCATACAAATTTTAGGTTGTGAAGAATGTCATTGGTATTGTGATAGGGATTGCATTAAATCTGTAGTTCAAGTTAGGAGTGGAAATTTTAACAATATTTTTTCTTACAGTACTTTTTCTTCTAGTGCTTTTTCTCCTGCAGTCCTTTTACCTACTTCTTGTCTCATCTTGGTCAAAACAGAGAACCCAGTTTGATGTTGCTCAAGAATCCAGGTCTTCACTTCCTGCACCACCTCCAGCCACTTTGGAGGTTTCCTCTCATTGCCTTCTTCTGTTGTGGCATCTCAAGAACCTTTTCTACCTCTTGCCTCCAGTACTTTTTATAAAAATATCGACTAGATTGCTAGTTCCCACCTAAAGTGTACAAGGAGAAATACATTGTTCTACATTGGCTGAAAATGTTTCCGTTGCAAGTTAATTGTCAGTTCAGCAATACAAAATGCATATTCCAAGGTATTATTTTGCTTACAGATACCATTATTGCTTCCTAGAGTTACATTTTTAACACATAAACATAAATAAAAGAATTAAAAACATTTATATAGATAGGGAATTAGTACTACCCATGTATACTGCACATTTTTTATTTTTCCCTCAAAAATACAGACCCCAAATATATATGGCAAAATGTGTTGTAAATATAGCTATTTCTGTTCTCTTTTGGTTTCCACTTACATGGACTGTCTCTTTTCTCCCATCACTTGTAGTCATGAGTGTCCTTTAGGGTGTAGTCTGTCTCTTATAGGCACCTTAAAGCTAGGTCTTGCTTTCTTATCTATTCAACTACTATATTTTAGAGAAATAACTCCATTTATATTCAAGGTATTTAGTGACAAGTAAAGGTTTATTATTGTCATTTCATTAATTGTTTTCTACTTATTTTGTAGATCTTCCTTTCCTTTCTTCATCTCTTACTATCTTTTATTGTCGTTAACAAATTTTCTCTAATACTGTGTTTTGATTTCTTACTCCTTCTGGAGTAAGCCTGGCAAGAAAGTCTCTAGCTTTGTTTCGTGTCCCGTAAACCTGTGAACACAGTAGCCATTGCAGCGCTAGGGGGTGCTGTAAGAACAGGATTGCAACAGCATAATGCTGCATCACATAGTTATTGAGGCTGACATCTTTCCAGGCTAGAATCCAACCCCCCCATCAATCCGTTTTCCTGTCACTGTGGTTATTCTGAGCACTAGGCCGATGGCGCCACCCAGTAGAGATGAGGGCCAGAATTGAGTCCTTTCAGTTGTGTATGAAGATTCCTGTCTGGTGCCATGGGATCTAGAGGCTCACTCGAGTTGTGGGCATTTGGGTAGTGCTGGGTTTTGAAATAACATGCCCATTATTGTGTTCTCAGGCTATTATTTACACTTACTTCTCTGTCGTTTCTCCAGGTGGATGGTATCTTTCCCCTGCTATGCTGCTGGGGGTTAGGGAGGAGTGATGTGGATTATGGAAAACTGTCCTTTTACCCTCTTCAAAGCATCTTTTCTTATTATACTGTAACCAGATAATGTGAACTCTAACCTGGTTTCTTTTGCTCTCATGAAAGTTTTTTCATGAAGTATGGTTATTCAAATTGATGTTTTTGCTGGGGGATGATCACACGAAAGTCCTGTTCCAGCATCTTGCTTATCCCTTCTCCATCTGTTTAATATTTATATACTATAAATACATCCATCTTGTCCATGTGGTTTTGGGGTTCAGAAAGAATCCTTAGAGAAGGTAATTCCAATATATAATTCACTACATATACAAATATTCACTTAGCTTTTCTTTTGAAAGTTATTGGTTTATTTGCATGTAAACAAGCAGCCTGGGTTTGATTTAAGTGTGCAGACTTGAGAAAAGGATCCATATCTTGTTTCACTCATGGCTATCCAGTTGTCTCTTACCATTAATTAGACAATCCACTTTGCCTCTATTGTATTGAAATGCCATGTCTACCAGTACAAGCATGGAATCTCTTTATTCGCTATTGAGTGGTGGTATTTGTACAAGAAAGAACCAAAATGAGAGAGTGGGAGTTTGACAGGAAATAATGGGCAAAGATTTATCCTGTAGTATGTGTGTGAGGTAGTGTGGAGTCAAGAAACAGAGATCAGAAGGTGCAGTGGGTTATCACTGGGATACTGACAGAAGTGGTGATAGATACACAGATGGGAGGTTGGTGTTCATTCGTGTATGTCAGTAAATGAGAAGGAAATAAACACCAGATTGGTATCAACTGCAATGACACCAGTTGAAAAATGGGAATAGCAGTGAACTCAGCTGTTTAAAAAACACCTATCAGATATAGTGCACACTATCTTAGTGAAAGGCACACGTATAACCTTTTTGCACAATCTGTGCAAAAACAAAATATGTAAACAAAATATGTGTACCTCCTAATACTCTGAAAATAAAAAATTAAAAAAATCAAAAGATAAATAAAATACTATGGAGGAGAAATAATAGGGTTTGGATACGCTGGCAAAGCAAAAAGTAATAATAATAAAATAGAATAGAATGAGTGGCTCCAAAAGTAAAATCAAATAAATCCTGCTCCAGTTCAGGCCAAAAAGAAAAGAAAAAATCATGAAAAATACTTTACAACTCAATGGCTCAAGTTTTCATCAGAAATATTTGAAGAACAAATTCTACTTTTAGGCATTTATTCTTATAGGTAAACAAGGCAAGCAGGCAATATGTTAGGATATAAGCTAACTTTCTATAAATTGAGACATATTCATTCATAGGGATACCATATAACTTTTTCAGTGATCTCTTATTATTTATTTAAAATGTCACATTTATTTTATTTTTTATTTTTTATTTTTTGAGACAGAGCCTCAAGCTGTCCCCCTGGGTAGAGTGCCATGGCATCAGAGCTCACAGCAACCTCCAACTCCTGGGCTCAAGCGAGTCTCCTGCCTCAGCCT